GTAGACCAGTAGTTTGTTTGTTTACAGTTCGAGTTATTAATTAGGACTTATGACCGGAACATTTTATGAGTTGTTTCCAAGTTCAGAAGTTAATTTGATATAGTTTATGACACAATTATATTTTGATAGTTGTCCGGATCGTTTGTTCGGATGTCCAGAGTAGTTTACACTGTTAAGTTCACATAGGTTATTCTTGTACGGAATGGGTTGTCCGGATTCGGCAGTATTTGTTCGGATTTGCGTAAGCTGAAAATAAAGTCATTTTAGGAATATTCATATTTTCGGGATAATTAATGCATAATGTGTCCGTAAGTTAGACAGTAATAAAGTTGATTGCTGGAGATATTTAGTACAGATTTAGAATATAGATAGTTAGGGACTGTCCGGATTGACGCATGGTATAAAAAAATAAATTCATAATTATTCTAACGCAAGTAAACGCAAAGTTATTTCACTTCGAGTCCGAGGGCTAGGTTGTTTGCAGATACTAGAATAAATAAACTGTATAAAGTAGTCAAGACAAGTTCACCCCCCCCCCTTTTTTTGGGTCAATATTGATTGTCTGAATGGTCAGCATCTCATTCGTTGTTGTTGTTCTTTGATTGTTGCCATCCTAAATAAAAACTTGTTATGCCTGACAAGGGTCCGCTCGACTTGTTACATTATATATATAGCTTATGAATATTTTGAATTAAAAGATTTTAACCATGAATCAACATTTAATTTATATAACATATTACCTTTATCATGTTTATTGCCTTTGATTCCAATTGATCATTTTCTCAGCCAATACTATAAACTAAATATTGAAAAAGTAACACAGAACTGAAAACATAACATTCCAACTTCAAAACTTGGGTTAGAAAAAAGGAGGTTAAATAAATGTTAAAAACCTCAAGAGTAAAATTATATTGAGTCAATTATGAACAATAACTACATGCGGAGAATTGAACTTTACCTCAACATGAAAAGGTGTCGCTTTAAATTTTCAAGCTCTGCCCTGAGGGCCACAGGGTCAAACTGTGCTCGAACCTGGACTCTGTGTCCCTGGAATGTGTCATCCTCTGCAGTTCCATAAAACTCAACTATTCTGTTTATGCTCTCCTCAGAAAAAATAATAAAGTTTAACAAAAAATTTACTGAAACTTTCTTATAAGTACATGTATTTCTCAAATTAAAATCATGTTATGAGGCAATAAAACTAAAAATAAAAAAAAATTCCTATCTGGAATGGATTGGTTACAATGACAAATTAATGGCTATACTTGATTGTAATCCGAAAGTTCCTGCACAGTGTCAGGTAAATTATGTGGATCCAGTATTCCAAAGGATGGAAGGACAGAAGATCCTGTACAGAACGCATCCTCAATTTCCTGTATCAGATCATAGATCAATGGAATTCCTACAATAAAATAAAAATATCAAATGTTGAAACTAATTCATGTAATTACAAAAAATCCTAACCTGGTAATGATAGGAATTGTAAATAAAATTTTTATTTGGATTTGAAAAAAATACCTGTTTGTTCAAGGAAGGATTCTGGTGTCAATTCATGTGCTCTAGCTCTCATTCGCCTTGCAAGGTTGGTTCTATCATCCACCTATAAGAACAAATCACCACATTTCTGATACTCTGTGTCTTGTAACTGATTTCTCTGATAGTTTTCAACCAGTAGATGAAGCAAGTCAATGGTTTCTTTGACATGGATGGGAAGCATGGTAAAGTTTATGTCTTCACGTTGAAGATAGAGAGAAAGCATGTGTACTGGTTTCAAAATGTCACACAGGAGTAAGATACCTGCCAGTAAACTTTTCTTTGTTATAGACGCCCTGATACCATATACCTCTGGGTCTTTTTTATCTTCATATAGTGCATCAAGTGTATCAAGTATACAGTTGTATCTGAATTAAACAAAAATAATACACCTTGTATTGAAGTCAAAATTTTGAAGACTGTCTAATGAGACTAAAAGTATTGATAAACTGAGAAAAAAGTGTACCTTGAAATAAATCTTGAAGATGCATGAAGATGAGACAACCATCTGGTAGTAGCTGCACGAAGAATGGTAAGTGGTTCCTTGCCATAGACTGATTGAATGTGCTTGAAAACAGCCAACTTCTGCGGTGAAAACTCAAATAACTTCCATAGTGCCAGAAGTGTGGAATCAATTTCTTGAAGAACTGGGTATCGTTTGATAAGATGGACTAAGCATAAGGCTAGGCGATGATTTCGGCAGTTGACAAACAATGCGAATGGACTTTCGTGTCTGATTCGTCTCTGTAGTCCTGAAAAAAATTCAGCAGAAAATTAAACTAATTTAGGTTGGTGTGTCAAGAAATAAAGTACATGTACTGTTCTTTTACTATCCCTTTATTGATTTTTAAAAAATATTCAATATAAATTAATGTGAACAATGTTATATACTCTACAGTGTCTAGATTGCAATAAATTTAAAACTAAATTTAAGTAGTCTATTCTTTTAATTTTGATACCTTTGTGTTCTCCACTCATTGTGTTGCACCCGTCTAAGGCGATGAACCTGATTTTGGCAAGGTCTATGTCTTTGGCTTGTAGAAATGATTTAATTGCTTCCATTATAGCTTCAGCTGTGCCTTTTGTTAGATTGACAAAACCTTAAAAATTTGTTGCTACATCACCATCTGAATTCCCACACCTAGCCATGACACATAATTGGCTCCTATTGGCTATGTCAGTACTCTCATCAACCAACAATGAGAACGTTTGTCTTTCATCTGAGATAATAATTCTCTCTCATGAAAATCCGAGATACACTGAACCATCTGTGTGACACTTTGAGATAACAAGTAAGATGTTTTGCTTGAGGTATTGTCACAATGGGCCGTCAGGTCACTGTCCCCCATGCTGGCAACAAATCTGGCTAATTTCTCCGTGTTTTCAGTGACTGCCCACTTCTGTCTCACTAGAAAATCAACACATTGGAAAATTTTCTTGACAACAGTTCTGTTTCTCTTATATTCTTGTTCACTGAATGCCATTTGTACTTGTTTGTAAACATTGACATTTCCTCGCCAGTGCATCTTTGAACAGAAAATTTATGCCTCTTACTTCCATCATGTTTCTCTAAAACTCTTGTGGGGTGTGTGCCAAGCGAAGCCCCTTTCTGAATGAATGGCTTTTCCAAATCAGTAGTCACCGAGTCTGAGAAAAGTTCACAGTATTTACACAAATACCCTCCTTTCAAATTTGAATAGTACAACCATTTGTATTGACTTTCATATTTATATGAATAAAACTTTCTCTGGTCGAATGGTTTCAATTCACCTTCACAATCATCAAATTTCAGGCTTAGAGTCCGGGATGTCTGGTCATCTTGACTTTTTAAGGACACGAATTTGCTAGAACTTACTTCAGGTTTTTTATGTGTTCTGATTCATCGTGGACGTCGTCCTCTACACACAAATCGGTTGTACTTGTTAATTGGATGTCACCACTTGTACTACTTGTACTTGGATCATTTGTACATGTTGTACCCGTGCTTGTGTTTGGACTTGTAAAAAAAAAAAAATATTTTTGTCAGGCCATTTGTGTCCTTCTTCCGAAGTCCCCCCGTAGGGGCCCGGGGTGATAAGAATAGGTCCCTGGCACCCCCTTGCATGTCGTATGAGGCGACTAAATGGGGCAACCTGTTGGCCGTGGGTTGCGACCCGTGTTGGTGGAGAAGGGGATCCTGGTGGCTGAGGTCTGCAGGTGCTGGGTATAATGCACCTGTCCGACCAACACTCCACTTTGGCCCCATATTCATTTAGACGGGAGGTCAAGTTTGGCCCGACTTGATCAATCGGCTAGTCATGCCGAGCTGATTATATCTACATGCCATAGTATTGATGTGTTGCTTTTTTCACTATCCGTTTACCTGTTTTGCAATTTCCAATACGCCGACGTTTCCATGTCGATATTTATATATTAAGCGGTGGCTAAGGGTCAATCAGGCATATCATGTCTGAGTATAGTTTCTTTGTATCCTCTTGGTATCAGTCTTACTGGATGACCGTTTGACTGGATATCGCCCTTGTTGGCGCTCCGAGGCGGGCGGGGAGCAAGGATTCTGAATCCTTTCTATTACAATCATGGCTCTCTCAAAAAAACGTTGCTATCCAGCAGGTTTCGATATTACTCTAAACGATGAACAACTGAATTCTATCGTGGAACACTGGCCCCGCTTCATCACACTTGAAGCACAACTATCAGACCAACATACGAAGCCTTTAACAAAAGTATCGCCATTCATCATTCAAAAAGGTATTCAAGGAATCATCGGTACTCCAAAATCTGTTAAAAAGTTGAGATCCGGTGCTCTACTTATTGAAGTAACCAAAAAACAACACTCAACTTCTTTGTTAGATTTGAAAATGCTTGCCAATATTCCTGTTGTTGGTAAAATCCACAGTGGATTAAATCAGAGCAAAGGTATCCTTTTCGACAGGGATCACGACCTGGATGACATTCCTGAACAGGAAATCCAATCGGAGTTGGAATCCCAGGGAGTGGTCTCTGTGAAAAGGTTTACCAAAAAGCGTTATGACAACATAGAACCAACAAATACCTACCTTCTGACCTTTGGCATACCAATATTACCCACAAGTATTAAAGTCGGGCTTTACAATATGAAAGTCGAAATGTTCGTTCCAAATCCTCTGCGTTGTTTTAAATGTCAGAGGTTTGGACACGGACAATCCAATTGTAAAAGTTCTGAAACATGCTTCAGGTGTGGTGAGGAGGGGCATGATGGTAAAGGTTGCCATAACGACCCCAAATGCAAAAATTGCAAGGGCGGGCATATGGCTTCCTCCAAACAATGCCCTATGTGGAAAAAAGAAAAAGAAATACAAAGGGTCAAAGCTGAAAAAAGGATACCTTATCCAGAAGCCAAAAAGTTGGTAAACATATATAGTAGTCCCAAACCAAATTTAACTTTTGCAACTGTTGTTAAATCGTCCTCTTTGAAGGACATGTCTACACAAGTCTCTGAGAAAGACTTTCTTCAGCAGACTTCATCATGTCAAACGCCCCTGTCATCTCAAGACAAGGGTAAAAACACTTCATTGCCTGCTTCTGCAGGTCCTGCAGTTCCTGCTGCTCCAAAAACCGTAGCTGTGGCTACATCACAGCCAGCAGCCTGGAGCAAATTATCATCATCGGGGAGAAAAAACAGATCTCCCTCCAAGAACAACTCAAAACAGCAGAGTGATCGGTTACCTAAGGCGGCCGTCACTCTCCACAATAAATTTGGGGTCTTCGAGGAGATGGACGTTACACCGTGTCCCTCCTCGCGAGTCCGAAGTGCGTCACCCCCCAAAAGTAAAGGGAGGATATCCCCCATTACTCATAAAAAATGAATCATCCTAGTATTATACAGTGGAATTGTCGAGGTTTTAAAGTCAACTTTAATGAATTATCATTACTTATTCAGGACCATAACCCAGTAGCTATATGTTTACAAGAAACACACTTAAAAGAAACAGATAAAATTAGTATTAAAAATTACAGTATGTATAACTTCTATGCTCAAACTGAAAGAGCGTCTGGTGGTTCCTCTTTAGCAATTAACAATAAATACATTCATAGCCAACTAGATTTAAAAACAAATCTTCAGGCAGTAGCTGTACGCCTTTCACTTGAAAAAACAATAACCCTTTGTTCTGTATATGTTCCTCCAAACTATCATTTACAAGCTTTAGAACTTACAAAGTTAATACAACAACTTCCAGCTCCATTTATGGTTGTGGGTGACTTTAATGCCCATAATCCATTATGGGGCAGCGATAAAATAACAGATAAAGGAAAGATAATTGAGGATGCAATATCACATCATAATCTTTGTATACTAAATGATGGTTCTAGCACCTATCTGCATCCGGGTAATGGTTCATATTCTTCAAATAGATATTACTTTAGTAGACCCTTCTTTACTCTTGGATTTTAGTTGGTCAGTACATGACGATTTATGTGGAAGTGATCACTTCCCAATTATCATTAAACTAGATGTATCCATTGAAAATATTTCTATTCAAAACTGGAAGCTAAACAAGGCTGATTGGATACAATTTGAAAACTTATGCTTACAAAATATTTCGTCCAAAACGTTCGAGAACAATCCGGATCCTATCAAAAAATTTACTGAAATCCTATTAACTACTGCAAATAAATGTATACCTAAAACCTCGACAAAGTCCTCTAAAAGTAAAAAACCATGGTTTACCGAAGAATGCAATGATGCTATTAAAGCTCGCAAAAAGGCAGAGAGACAATTTAATCGAATACCAACATCATCAAATTTAAGCAATTTTCGTATATTTAGAGCAAAAGCTCGCAGAACTATTAACTTTAATAAACGAAAATCTTGGAAAAGATTCATTTCCAGCCTTAATTCTCATACTCCTATTAATAAGGTCTGGAATGCAGTTAGAAAAATTAAAGGTAAAGGTCCTGAAAAATATAAACATCTTAATGTTAGAAATGAAATTATTACGGATAAAAAAGAGATATCAAATGAAATAGGTAATACAATTTCTAAAAATTCCTCCAACAAAAATATCACACCTAAGTTTAGTAAATATAAAAAATCACAAGAAAAGAAAATATTAGATTTTACATCTCAAAACAATGAATGTTACAATCACCCATTTACTTTAGATGAACTTCAGAAATCTTTAGATAAATCCCATGACACAGCAGTAGGACCGGATGAAATCCATTATCAAATAATTAAACACCTTCCTTTAAAAAGTAAAGAATGTCTTCTGCAAATTTTCAATACGATTTGGGAGCAGGGTCTTTTTCCACCTTCCTGGACCGAAGCTACAATAATTCCCATCCCAAAGCCTGGTAAGGATCACACAGATCCAAATAATTACCGTCCTATTGCGTTAACAAGTTGTTTGTGTAAAACCATGGAAAGGATGATAAATGAACGACTTATATGGTTTCTTGAAACTAATAACATTTTAACTAATATTCAATGTGGTTTTAGGAAAAACCGCAGTACTATTGACCAGTTAGTGAGACTGGAAACCTATATTCGAGATGCTTTTATTAAAAAAGAGCATGTTATATCTGTGTTTTTTGATTTAGAAAAAGCATATGATACTACATGGAGACATGGCATTTTAGAAGACCTTTACACTATGGGTCTTAAAGGACATTTACCTAATTTTATCAAGAATTTCTTGAATGATAGACATTTTAAAGTAAGCTTAGGGTCTACATATTCAGAAAGTTTTGAACAGGAAATGGGTGTACCACAAGGTAGTATTCTATCAGTAACTCTATTCAGTATAAAAATCAACAACTTAGCAGAAGTTCTTGAAAATGATATGCATGGAAGTTTATATGTTGATGATTTTGTTCTTTGTTTTAAATCCAAAAATATGAACTATATTGAACGAAAATTGCAGAGTTGTCTAAATAAAATTCAAAATTGGGCTGATGTAAATGGATTCAAATTTTCAAAAAGCAAAACCGCTTGTGTTCATTTTTGTTCCAAACGGAAAGCGCATGACGAACCACGTCTGCTGCTCGATGGAAATCCAATTAAGGTTGTAAA